TGCAATGATAAAATATAATTTGATTACATAATATAATATTTATTAAGAAAATTATACTTTTAAGCTTAAAATACTTTACAGAGAGCGTTGAAAAATTGCAAGTAGATATTATCTCTTTGGATTCATCTGAAGGAAGTTTGACATCTTTCACACACTTTTTATAATCCAAATAACTTTTTAAAAAGCGATGCAAATATCCCTGCCTAAAAGATGGCACTTCAGGGGCCATCTGTTGAGACACTTGCTCGTGTCCAAGCTTACTTTTATGAAAACTTTCTATTATATCGCTGCAAATAACATTGGAATAAATATATTTTAATTTTTAGGAGAATATATTGAGACTGAATATTGGTAAACAACATATTATGACGTACCTTTTACAAATAATGCAATATTCGTCAAAGTCCTCTTGAAGTTGAAGTATATCCAAATGTGGATCTTCACGATCTGGTGTTGTATTAAAAACTATATTATAAATGTATGAGGGATTAATCCGACGAATTCTTTCTAACACGTTACTTAGGTTCCATTTGGGACTTCTAGGAAGAATAAATTCTGATGTGCCAATAAGCATTACATGACCATTTAGCGCCCTGTAGCTTACTGAGTATTCCCATTCTAATTTTAGCATTTTGGTCTTAAAATCGTATGGCCGTAAATCCGCGATATATCCTGATATTGTAACCCGCCGAACAGAGCTGTTCAGATTTTCTTTATCCCATAATATAAACCATTCATCATCAGAGTTTTGTGCCCAAATTCGTATAACCTTTTTGTATCCACACTTTTTCGGTATGGTCACTCTGATAGGATAACAGGCTTCATAAAATTCGATATCTTTAATATAGAAAACATAATTGAAATTTTTCTCAACAAAAGTGTATCTTTAACAATATCTAATTTAAAATTCAAATATTACTTACTAATATATTTTTGTTTAGCCATATTCTGTGATATACGATCAATTGGTTTCGTAGGTAATGTATTGCCGTGCAATAGTCCGTAAGTTCTCTATATTAAAAAATAAACCAGAGAGATGCAACAAAATCTTGCATAAAGTTGGATCGCGATTTATACAGAACGATAACAGGTGATTATATATAGCATTATACAGGAAGAAAATATACAATTTATGTCATATAGTAAATACGTACCTCTTTAAAATCTTCATAATTTGTAAATTTGGTATGTGGTTCAATTATCTTAGAGTTATCAAATGTGCTAGAATTACTGTTATTTTGAGTACAACTATTAGGCTTTGCAACTTGATAAATAAA